TACAGAAGTAAGGAAATGAAGACATATGGCGACAGCATATAAATGTAAAGCGTCTGCGTCAAAAAATATAAAGAAAATTGTGCACATTATTATTCCTATCATATCTCATTGCCACCAGCGAGAACGAATTATTTATATATAATTTACTAAACTATTTCCTTCCATTATTCTATGATATACAATGACAATAAAATAGTCTCTTTTATAAATTCCTGATAGTACCTGTTCTATTTCTTTTGTAAAGATTATATTTAATATTATCTATAGTCCGCAGCGTTTTATAAAAAGAAAAATATTACACGGTATCTACAGACATTAGTAAAAATGAGAATTTACATATAAGTCATCGGCAGAACAGTATCTCAAGTGTCGTGCAAATATGGTCTTTGCTGGAAGTCGTTACTATAAAATCAATCGAATACTGTTAACGTGCATTGGTCTATGGCCATATTATACACAACGTGCGAAATACGCTTATTGCATATTTTTATTTCTCCTTCTTTTATTTAATATTTTTTGTCAGGTTTGTCATCGATCCGAGTTTGATATTTGTTCATAGCTACTTATTTATTCCTGTTTTCATAATTTTAATTATTTTGTGATTAATAATTTGCTATCATAAAACTTATAACGTAGATATTATTTTTTATTTCACTACTTGCCAATAATCTTTTTTTAGAAATACAATATAAGTTTTTATGAATTTGAGAATTCATATTATTATTTTTATAATATTTATTAATTTAGAATAAAATTATCTCAAAATTTTAGAATTTATTTGTATCAAATATAATATTAGATATTGGATTGTTATACAATTATTATTATGTACATTATGCAAATATTTATACAAATTTTGTGCGTGAACGGTATATATATATATGTATATATATATTATATATATATATATATATATATAATTCTAGTTATCATTTTTTCATAGAATGTGCGTAACATATATCAACTTTTAATTGATTACATCAGTATGATTTTAGAAATTCTTTTATTATCTAGAGCTGTTTGTTTTATCTATATGAGAATATTAAATATAAGTAAAACGAACATTTTATCACGCGACTATAGTAAAGAATGAAAAACAAATTAATCTATAATGTATCAGGGTTTTTTTAGTTATGATTTTCTAATAATAAACTTGTAGATACAACGTGCAATGGTATGTAGCTCCATTAAGAACGCAGAAATTATTACTGCTTATGATGCAAAGAAGTATGCGACATTGTACAATTATCATTAATGGCTTATTCATTCCATCGTTTGAGGGATTTGCCACGGTAAAATTTGGGCACTAATAATAATTCTTTATTTCCACTTCAAATATACTATAATACACTTTATATTTTAGCTTGCAAGCATGTCAATTTCATATTTTGTGGTGATTTTTTCCCTGTTTTAATCATCTATATAAATTAAGAAAGGAGTTTAAAACTTCAAGATGTCAAAGATGGACAAATAGTTCTAGTATACTTAGATCATAATATATTTTATATGATATATTTTATCTAGAAATGTAATAGTACAAATGCAATTAATCTACTATCTTAATTTGTCTTCATTTCTATGTATAAAAATTAAGTATAAAGAATATTAGGTATGGAAATAAGTTTTCGCCCTTTCTTAATGAAAAAGATGTATTTATTTAAACAAAACAAAATGAGTTCATTCAAAGTATGCTTCATCGAACTTTCTCCCATCTTTCAGGTAATAAATGGATTCCTCGAAAGAAGAAATCTAGGACCAGATTTCGCTTTCTTTTGAAGCGATCCATTTATCAAACCATTTTTGGATAATATAATTTATAATAATTGAATCGATCTCCAGAAAGAGCTGATTGCATGGACTGGAACAAATAGAAATTTGAAAGAGCAATGTCCAGTGAATACGGCGGATGGGGCAGAATTTCTCACTTTACTCCTTCCAAGTATTGCTTGGTCTGTTTTGCAACATGTGGTCTAGCGTTGTCATGTAACAGAATCAGCTTGTCATGCCTATTGTCTCATTCCGATCGTTTTTCTTTCAAAGTTTGTTTCAAACGTATCAGTTGTAGTCGATAACGATCGCCAGTGATGGTTTCGGACGGTTTCAGCAGCTCATAATATACAACACCTCTTTGATCCCATGCACAACATAATCTTCGAAGCATATTCCGTTTTGATGTTGATGGACCTGATTTACCTGGCATCACCCATGCTTTCGGGTGTTTAGAGTTATCGTAGTAGATCCATTTTTCATCGCCAGTCACGATACGATGCAGAAAACCTTTTTTTGTTATCGTTGAAGCAGCATCTCGCACGTGACCAAAAGTCTTTCCATATCTCTCTCACTTTCAATTTGTATGGCACCAAATTTTCTTCCATTCCCATTGCGTGTAGACGCTTTCCAACAGTGGATCTATCAATATTTAATTGTTTGGACAACTCATTGAGCGATCGACATGGATCTTCTTCGAGTGACGCTTGCAATTCTGCATCTTCAAATTTTTTCGGAGCACCTTCGCGTTCTTTATCACGCACGTCGAAATCACTATTGTCGAATCGCTGAAACCATTCTTTACAAGTAGTATTCGATGGAGCATGCTTGTAAATATCTACGAGCAAACGATGCGTTTCCGCAACACTTTTCTTTAAAATAAAGTAATGGAATAAAACTTCCCGTAAATATTGATTTTTTTGGAATAAATTCCGACATTTTCAACGCAAAAAAGTTACTCTTGTTTACGCTTCGAACAAATGTCAACTACTAGGCTCAAAACACACACCTTTTAAATATACAATATACATATATTGCCGTTTTATCAAACACACAAGCAGTGTTAACATCTTTCTACAATGGGCGGAAACTTATTCTTATACCCAATAAAAATATAATATTGAATTATCGATAGCACTTCTCAATTTTTCTCTTTCGAATATGACAGTTACATCAAATCTCAATTTCTATTATACTTACAGTAATATTATATTTTTTTATTATTACAAGGAACACTAACTATCGCTTTATACAGAAGTAAGGAAATGAAGACATATGGCGACAGCATATAAATGTAAAGCGTCTGCGTCAAAAAATATAAAGAAAATTGTGCACATTATTATTCCTATCATATCTCATTGCCACCAGCGAGAACGAATTATTTATATATAATTTACTAAACTATTTCCTTCCATTATTCTATGATATACAATGACAATAAAATAGTCTCTTTTATAAATTCCTGATAGTACCTGTTCTATTTCTTTTGTAAAGATTATATTTAATATTATCTATAGTCCGCAGCGTTTTATAAAAAGAAAAATATTACACGGTATCTACAGACATTAGTAAAAATGAGAATTTACATATAAGTCATCGGCAGAACAGTATCTCAAGTGTCGTGCAAATATGGTCTTTGCTGGAAGTCGTTACTATAAAATCAATCGAATACTGTTAACGTGCATTGGTCTATGGCCATATTATACACAACGTGCGAAATACGCTTATTGCATATTTTTATTTCTCCTTCTTTTATTTAATATTTTTTGTCAGGTTTGTCATCGATCCGAGTTTGATATTTGTTCATAGCTACTTATTTATTCCTGTTTTCATAATTTTAATTATTTTGTGATTAATAATTTGCTATCATAAAACTTATAACGTAGATATTATTTTTTATTTCACTACTTGCCAATAATCTTTTTTTAGAAATACAATATAAGTTTTTATGAATTTGAGAATTCATATTATTATTTTTATAATATTTATTAATTTAGAATAAAATTATCTCAAAATTTTAGAATTTATTTGTATCAAATATAATATTAGATATTGGATTGTTATACAATTATTATTATGTACATTATGCAAATATTTATACAAATTTTGTGCGTGAACGGTATATATATATATGTATATATATATTATATATATATATATATATATATAATTCTAGTTATCATCGTTTATAACTAAGGAATATAGCGTAAATCTTCTTTTAAATGTTTTACCATACAATATACCTACAATATATTTTACATTTAAATATCTTATTATGCTTATTAATGGCAATAAAGTAAGTTTATAAACAATATCGATTTCTATAATTACAATCGAATTATATAACAGTGTAATACATTTTAAAAAATTAGATAGCTTTTTCTTGTGTGTAATTAAGATATATCAATATAATTTACTATTTTGTTCTAGGTGAAAGAGCTTATAGAACAAATGCGGTATGATTGGAATTCCTTAAAAAAGAAAGAGGAATTTAAAATCATACAAAATCGCACTAATATTGGAAGATTTTGTACAATCATTATGTTAAGTGAGTAATAGAAATATCTTGCAAAACATTCTCAATCGTAATGCTATCATGAAATTAAAATTAAAATAAGAATTACAATATCGTATTATTACAGTATGGACATACACAATACTCTTTCTCTTTATATTAATGTTTTTTTCGCCAAATATTCTTAACGTCGTGATGCCGTTAAACAAATCGCGGAAATTACGACAGCTTCCGGATTCGATGGAATTTTTTATTGATAAGGAGAAATATATCGAATTGTTAACATCGTATTTTTTTCTAATACTCACTATCTTTATTACCATCACAGTAACCATAGAAACATTCTTACAAATGTGTATACATCATACATGTGCAATGTTTCAAATCACTAGGTAATGAATTCTTAAATGCTAACAAAGGAATTATAAATATATTAATTCAATATCATAACAATTCAATTTTTTATAGTTATAGAATCGAATGTATTTTAAACAGAAACCAGACGAAATCGTTAGTTTCTCAAGAAAAATTCAATAATCATAAAAACATTGTGGAGGCTGTCAATAGTCATCGAAACGCTATCGAGTTAGTATAAAATTTGCAATTTGTAAAACTCTATCCAACATTTTTCAACAGTTTATATTGTATATTAATAATGATTAATTATTCAAGATTTATCGATTCCGTCAAATCTACTTTCTCAGTTGCCCATGTTTTTGGCAGTTCATTGGGTGTGATATTGTTAAGTATCAATTTATATCTTGTGAGTTTGTAAAATTTCTAATTGTGATCATTAACGATGTAATAGTGTTACATAACAATTTTTAAGAAATTGTAAGTTTCAGCTTTGCAAGTATCTTATGGCAAAAGATATTTACAGTATGAGTATATCATTCTTATATATTGTTACTCAGTTTTGCTACATGTTTTTTTTTAACTACATGGGTCAACAAGTAATAGATTATAGCAACAATATATTTAAAAAAACGTGAGTATAGAAAAAATAGAAGATTTCACTTAAATATATCTAAAATTTATGTAATCATAAAAAACAAATTAATTTAATATAAATTTATGGCATCATATATATATATATATATATATATATATATAGATATAACACTCGATGGTACGCGACTCCATTAAACACGCAAAAATGCCTCATAATAATAACGTATCGAAGTATGAAGACTTACACATTGACGATCCGTTTTGGACTATTTGTGCCATCTTTGGAAGGTTTTGCTTCGGTAAATTGTACAACTTACATATTGAGGAATGTAAAAAATGTTATACTTTTATACATGCTATATTGCAGCTTATCAGCAGGTCATTATCATACTTTATGGTACTTTATTCTTTACGCTGATAATAATCACAGAATATAACAATACTCAACAATTGTGACCGATAAATACTTTCGTGAAGAAAGTGTGCGTCATGTTAAATAGAACATCTCTGTACCATCAGGAACTTTGAATCTATTATATATCTATTTACACTCGAATATTTATATCTTAAATTAGAAATGTAAGCTAATATATTTCTTTAAATAATTAAAATAAACAGCTCTTTAACTTTAATCTATACGACATGATTTATTTTATTCGCTCGTATTAAAATCACAATCGCAATATAAGATTTTAAACGATAACCGTTTGAAGTAAAAAAATAAAATATATACATTTTACTGTTGTTAGGGGAGAATGAGAAAACACTTCAAACACTTACGGGAAAAATTAAATAAAGTTGACAATTATTTATTAATTAATAGAAGTCTTTATCTTCTCAAAAAATTCTCCAGCTATTTGACTTTAAACTACAATGATTAAGATTTATTTATATTATTAATGTAAACTATAGTTTTAAATAAAAAATAAAACCTTTGTTGTTTGGAATTACTCGCCATCACACGAAATTATGTCAAATTGGTTTAATTTTTTTATTTAAAATTATGATTTATATTAATAATGTATAAGTGTTAATTATTGTAATTTAAAGCTAATATCTTTTAAATAAAGATATTTATAATTGATAATAATCGTCAGTTTTATTTAACTTTTCCCTTAGGTTTCATAATTCCCCCATCCTCTCCCCCATTAAAATCTTCGAAAACATATTTATCTTAAACGGCATGTTGTTCTATACTCATGTACTATAATGTAATCCGATATACGCTACTAAACGTATATCGGACTACATTAGGTGCGAGAAATGAAAGATTATTACTATTGTAATATACTATAACAGTATCATTTGTGTTTATCTGGTATTCGCAAATTCCCTATTGTTTCCTATTATATTAATTATACAGATTAAAGTATGCCGCGATTATTTGGAAGATTATGCATATAATTGTCTTATGTTTTAAATATATTTTGCAATGTAAAAGAGTATTCTCGTTTTGTATTTTAGAAACTCATAACCTCATCATTAACCTCAACTGTTTTGTTTTGTAAAGTCTTATTACAAATTATGATTTTAATATTGATAAGCGTAGATGTTTGGCTTCTTTGACATTGTGTTACCACGAGATACGTCTTATCTAAACTGCGAATGTAATATCTCTATTCAACGAGCAGTTTCTAACTAGAAGCACTATCGGCATTGCTTATAAGTACGAAGAACGCGTGCAACTCGTCGCGCACAAATCTTCTCGAGTGCGCGCCAAGGCAGAAATTAGCGAGTCCCGCATTATATTTCACAGCTGTCAACTAGTACGACTGCTTTGTCTAATATATTTGATTCACGCAATTCTGATTGGTATTTGTAAAAATAAAATTTAATTTTTTTGTAGTTCTAATTCTATTCGAAACATATTTGCACGTATAAATATTTGAATTAAGATTTAAAAATTAAATAAAAAATTACAACAGAAAGTAAAAAATTACTTTTTGTATACATAAATATGTTGTTAAATAAAAAGTCATTTTATAAAAATTATTATTAATAATATTCGGTTTGATTATAATAACAATAACTTGTTATGTTAATATATTTTTTTAAGTCAATTGTATGTACATTAAACATAAAAATTATGAATATAAAATTGATAACATTTAATAAAAATTTTGAATTTTAATAAAAATTTGAAGACATTATGTTACAAATATGTATAAAAAAAATATATCTTTATCTATTACCATCTTAGCCTTCTTTTTCACAAATAGATATCAAGAAAACTATCATTATTCAATTGTTATTATCGAAAATTATGTGTGAATAATGGGATGGGAGAAAGACTATCTTTCTTTTGATCTCCGTAATTCTTCGAGAAATCTACGATCTCTTAGTGCATTCTCTGCTGGTCTCGTTAAATACGCTCTCTTCCACCGAAAACCTCCTTCGTCTTATCCTCTGTGTAACAAATGTGCGGTAGTACTGTGAAGAATAGAACTGTCGGACGTGGAGCGTACATAATGCGTCAAGATTCTCAAGTTTAGTGTTCGATAGGGATATTAATTAATGATATCCAAGTCGCAAATTGCCATACGTGTAACAAATGTGCGGTAATACTGTGAAGAGTAGAACTATCAAACATGGAGCGTTCATAATATGTCAAAATTCTCAAGTTTAATATTTGATAGGGATATTTAAAAAAAAATGCAGTTACATTGCAATAAAGAAAATATTTGATTTAATTTTTAATTACTCGAATTTCTCATCATTTTGACTTATTGTATCATTTGATACGTTAAAAAAGAGAAAAGGAAACGAGATCCCAAAAGAGCTGTTGCTTCAAAAGTCATCCCCTCGTCAACATGATGTTGTAACGTACGGCATTATCGCAAGTATAACACTTTTTCTTCCCCGCGGCAGTTTCCCAAGATAAGCGAATCCCTTTCTAGGAAAATTCCTTTGTTACCTCACGTCGACTGGTCTAGGAGAGCAAACTATCGTACAGGGCTCCGACAAAAGTGGAGCGTGTACAATATAAAGGCGTGTCGAAACTTGTTACTCGCGCGAGTGCTTCCGTGACTATCTGCCGAGCTGTGCAGTCTTCTACCAAGTTGCCTTTACAAGTGGCGCAAAAGCACGCGAGAGCTTCTCACAATCGAGTTTATAACGTGTCCCCCCTAATATAGCCGCGTAACCACGGCCGATGATTACGTCCAAGTTTTGTTTTCCTCTCGAGTAATTGCATGAAAGAAATTCATAAATGCTATGATTAAACACTTTTCTATATATATAGTAACAAAGCTATCAACAATTCATAAATTTAACAGAAAGAAAAGTTTTGCGAAGAAAATACAATAATATTGTCACGATATATCTAATACTTAATAATTTGATAGTAATTATATTCAGGATAAATTTAAACATTTTAATTATCATAAAGCACAGTTGCCTTTGAAAAATGTTTGACTTTAAATGATACATATTTCATAATGTATAATTAAAATTTTACCAAATTCAGTATTTTATCACTGATTGTGAGGAAAATGATTTAATTATAGCAACAAGACATATATGGCTATATTTTGATAAAATCAAACAGAATTTCTAGTTATTATGATAAAATTAACTATTTTATAACTAGAACATGTTAGACTTAATTATATGGGTTTGATTACTTTTCTCAATTGATTTTACAAAACTTTTCTAGTTGCAAGAGGTTCCTCGAAAGCAGTACATGAAAATAACACGATGGACCAATATTTACCATCTCTAAAATTGGATTTAAAGGCGAAAATAAATGAGAGATGTATTTCGACAGTTCTGTTTTTAATTTCTGGAAGTTACATATACAAAATGTATTAATATACAGAAATATTATCAAAAACATCTTAATATGTGTGTGAAATTATGTGCTCGCAACGATTAAACTTGATTATCAAGTACCGATCAATAAATTTTTGTATATTTAACAGGAAAGAATTAATCATGTTCATCTGATATTTAATTTCTAGAAGAATTCTGATTTGTCAGTTTTTGAACAGACATACTAATTCTGACTTCATCAAATTTCCAATTAATGCAACCAGATATTTTTTTTTAATGATATGATAGATTAAAATAGACAGAATTGATAAGAGAATTTTCAAAATTTTATTTTCTATAATGGATGGCTAATAAATCAGATTTTGTTCTAATGATATTCAGAAATGCTTAAATATTCAATTGCTGAAATAATCAATTTAAAAAAAAATACATCACATTATTTAATCAATAAACGAAAAATCAAGGTAGAACAGAAAGAAATAAATGAGAATGAATAAAATCAAAACAAAGATGACGAAGCACGAATTATTACATTTTAGATTTAGTTTCTTTTTTTACCATACTAGTATACGCTCTTATTCTCCCCAATATAATTCTATTAAAGTTGCAGAACTTCTGTAAGTGACGCGATTGCAAGGCCAAACAGTGACCCATGCTTAAGGTCACATTTACGAGACTTTATGTTATCAAACTTATGTAGCTGATTTTAGTACATGCAACAGAGAGAACGGAGTTGCAACGAAACTGCATCCAATTCAAATATTGTCGGTTTTATTTTGACCGCCTCTTTAATTGTACCCAATATTATTTTTACAAATTGTTATACAAAATCATTTGGCATAGTTTTTCTCAATTTTTGAATGAGATAACGTTAAACAAACAAGTAGACGGATATGTGAAATATTTAATTACAATTTTTCTACTATATTTTTCTTTCTCTTTCATGCGATAAATTTTAAAACATCTTCGACGTATAATTTAATAATTCACAGAAAAGTATAAAATTATTGGAGAATTACGTCGGGCTCAGACTTAGAGAATTTCGTCTGAAATGTCGGAAACATTTCAGTTTCCAAAAAAAAACCCTACAAAACGATTTCAGAGATCGCATCAACACCTGTGATCCATCCGCGTAGCGCGTGTCCGACCGTAACTCTATTATCCTTTAAAGAGCCCTCTTCGAACAATTGACTTTGCTCCTCACAATGCTTTTCGCTTGAGTTGCCTCGGCACATTTCCGTTTATGGTAGCCATCCTCGAAACGACGATATATAATCATAACTTCCAAGTTCTTCAAGAATAATATCGGCTATACAATTTTTTGTAGAATATATTCATACAATAATTTAAAAATAAATAACTATATGTATTCGTTTTTATGTACAAAGAAAGAGGAAATTATCACGTATTGCGATGGTGCTCGACAACCGACGTTCTCTTCTCGGCATAGGAAGATGAACGAGCAACAATTTACAGGGCCATGATATTACGTTTCGCACCGAAATGCCCGCAGCCTATTGGCCATTGTACGCAAAGAGATACACAAAGATAAGGAGATCTTATACAGAACTGACAACGCGTCTTGCAAGGCGGTGAGAACGGAGTGTGAGATTAGGAGGGACGGAACGCCCGACATACCGCTGAGCTAGTGGAAAATAGCGTGACGCCTAGCAGCCGGGCTTCTTGTCTGGCTTTATTTCAACCGACGACTCCACCCCCGGTATCAACGAGATGGGGATCGAATCGGAGAGCCGTGAAATAACAGTCCTGCGACGCGAAAACGTTTTTTACAAATCCACCTCAGAACAATTTTCTCTGCTATAACAAATAGAATATTTTTGCAAGATTATATCGAATATGATGCTACAATTACGGAAAGAATATATGAAAATAAGATTAGTCTTTTTGTACAAATTTCTTTAAATCCTCTGAAATTTTTACATCACACAGAATTTTTAGGCATTAAATCGATGAAAAATCTAGTCAAACAACCTTAAAGTCTTTTTGTATATAAGGTGTGCAGTAGTTTTCAAATTATGTTACGTTCTAAGAAAAGTAATCTTTTACGAATTTATTATTGCAGAAATGAATAAATGAAAGAAAGGAACGTGTAATACTTGTCTGTAGTACTAATCGTCGGCAGGGTTTTAAAGTCATTCGACACGCTACATTTTAAGAACCTGAATTGAAGCGGCAATGGTGTGGATAATCAAAGATTTGCGTAAAATACCAACAGTTCATCAGATCCATGCACGCTACGGCACGCATTCATGAATTCAAGAAGAGTATGTCTGGATTGCATCGCGTGCGATAGCACATGCTACTATGCGAATATCAATACGACTACGCGATGTATGTGTGCGCGTGTGTAACGTTTTCATTAAAACTTGCTACCCTTATTAGTAACTATGCTGTAAATAGTACACAACATGTTGCCACAAGCAGAAACTGCAATAAAAGAAAATAAAAGAAAAAGAAGAAAAAGAGTAACAGATAAGTAAATACAAAGAGAAAGATAAAAATGAAAAAGGCAGTCAGAGCTAGAAAAAAGGTAAAATAAACGAAACTATACATCCAAGACGATATATGTATACATATATATCTTATTTTCTGAGAGTAAAGATATGAATGAAATATTTAAACGTAAAATTAGATAATGCTGTGACATGTTTTTCGAAGATATTTTCAAAATTGTCTAATTTTACATTTTAATTCTTACAGACATATATTATAATGTACATATATCAAATTTGTAAACATTATCCGTTCAAATTACTTAATTTTATCGATATCATCTAAGATCTAATGTACATAATAATGTATATATTAGAAAAATTTGTTAGTCAGAATTTTGAAGAAAATTAATTAACTAACTAGTATGAATTACTTATTAAAATGTACATAAATTGAATTTTAAAAAAATTTTTTTATATGACTTCAGTAAAATCAGGTCTGAAGGGGTTAATATTTTATGATAGATGAGACTTAGTAATGTTATTTAAGTTAAGCATTCGCTTTTTGATAAATTCTCTTGATAAGAATTGTATAAGTAGTGTTATCAAGATAAATGAGTCAATCAGCCATACTTGACGAATTAAAAATAATAGCGTAACACATATAATAGTCAATAATATTTTCTTCAAAGTTAATGACTTTATAAACGAGAGGAATATGTTGACATATAGGTAAATCGCACACAAATTTTATTTCCTTCGTAAAAAGGTTTTGTTTATATATATATATATATATATGTGTGTATATACATCTTTACCGATTTTATCATTTTACATTAATATTTCCAGATACTACAACTGCAGAAAAAATATTAAATTAGATACGTTTGATAAAACATAAAATCATTATCATTAATCTATTTAATTACATTACATAAATGATGTGATAGCCAAATTGTAAATTTGGTAGAAAATCTAAGGTGTAATCTGAAGTTGACAAGAAGTATTTAGTCCCAAAGTATAATCAACGCGAAAATGTATCGCTTACGAACTTCCCACGATACTTCCTATCGCAACGTGCATCATAAATGTCAATTAGCGGCACAATACCTCGCAAACATGAGAACAACGCCAATTTACCTGCTTTTATGCTCCACACGTCATTATCTTCACGTTTCTGCGTTAGAGCGTTTTCAGATTCTCCTAATTATAAAGTATCTACCGAATATTTAACGAATATATGACTATTATTTTGTGAAAAGAATTTTTTTTTGTTTTTATTAACGTAATAATATTTCAATCATAATAGCAGTTAAGAAAACTTTAAATATATTTTGTGATATTAACGATACTAGAAAGAAGTTTTGTTTCGTAATTTTTGCAAAATAAAAAAATACGAATGATAAGCAGGTAGAAAAAAATTTTTTATTCTTCCATGACACACGATGCAAAACCGCTAACAATCGCTTCTCTCCATTTTGCGGCTAATATCACTCAGCTTTCACATCGCGTCATGTTTCTGCCGCATATCTGTCCTCATATCGATGACAATTTAACAGAATTATTACCAATGAATGATCTATTATATAACACCAAGAAATATTATTATTATTATTTCAAGCATATATTATTTCACATTTCATGACATTTAAGTTATTAAAATAATAAATTCAATTTTAGCATTGAATTTATAAACATTAAAAATTATCGATCAAATAGTAATATAATTTTGTTGTTAAAAAATTTGTATTGTATGTGATACATTTATGATATTAATATATTTTATATGTGAACTATAAAGGATTTCATTTATTTTTCTTTCAAATATTACTATTTCAGATTACTGATATAACTTTACAAAACACTAGTTAGTGCTATCTAGTGAATAGTGCAATCCATGTATTTACATCACGTAGATGATGCAAATCGAGTTTCTGTACGATGAATAGAACTGCAATGCCGCAAATCTTAGACGCAACACATACTCACATATACAAATATTCTCCTCATCTTCATTTCCGTCTATTCAAACTCTATTCAAACACTATTCCGTTGAATTTTGCCAACGGATAATGATTATATTTATTTGAAATTTATATTATGTATTATATATTTATTATTTATTTTGCTCTTTTCGATTTTTGCCATATTTTTTTATAATTATCAAAGATTGAATTATATCGCGCTGTTACACAATGTAAATTTAAAAGCAATTATTAAGTTATTTCTCTTCAATATATAATTTTCAATATATTAAAAAATTTTATTAGAAAATTTTGCTGAAAGAAAACAAATTATTTATCTAATAATTGATCAATAATTGTCCTAAACGAGGAAGTTATGTCATGAATGTCTCTGTGCAAAGAATGTTTCTTTACAAAATTTTATTTATAGTTACAAATTTGACCGGGAAACATTTAAAAATCGTATTGCTCAATTACTGTATTTTATTTTTAGGTTATTTAATAGCTACAAAAATATTTGTTTGTATTTTTGTTCATGGTAAATAAATAATATATAAAAACATTTGAAAACATTTTGGAAATATCTAAGGACATTTTTACGTGTTATTTTTATTACAGTCACGTATAATAATTTGCAGTGTAAAATTATTATAAAAATGTTTTCTTATCTTTGATAAATCACCTAAAATGTATAAAGAAAGTTACAACTTTGCAAACTCTTATTGTATTAACTTGTACTACTGAATCGACACCAAATGTAAGTCGATACTGCATGTTATAATCAGAAATTTTTAAATATGTATTATATGTATATACATATATATATTATATATATATAAAGTTTTTACATTTATATAAGACTATTAAAAACTAATATACATGTACATACATATAAATATGAAAATATATCGCAGTAATATTTTATTTCATAATTTATAATGCCTGGCCATATGCTATATGGCTATAATGAGAACGAAAGGGTTAATGAACGCATATTTATTATAAGAATCTTTATTATAAGAAGATTATATGAGAAGATAACGGATATGTGTATGTATGTGTGCATGTGCGATACGTTATATTACATACTGTAATCTTTTCATTCACAAATAAACGATCAACGCGTTATTAATCCAAACGTTTTGCTTGTTTTGTTTCAGAACTCCGAAATATCGCTGTTTGAGACGAATATTCGTTTCATGGGAAGTCTGCTTGCCTGTTATGCTCTCACGGGAGATGTGATGTTCCGGGATAAGGCGGCGCAACTTGGTGAACGGATGCTGCCTGCCTTCCAGACGGAAACCGGAATTCCTCATTCCCTCATCAACCTTCATACCGGGGTAAGTGCGGCTTTTCGTTGCCATAACTCGCTAGTGCTCGCATCAACGCGGGTTCGATGTACTTTGATATTACATTAATTTCGTTTCCTGCACCAAAAAAAGAACCTACTCATTTACTGCACTGAGATAAAAAAGTAAAACAAGAAATCACGGATATGAAATGTCGTAAATTTATACAGGTTGCATCAAAATCAGGTATACATTTTAATAAAAATCACTTTTTATAGGAGTCAAAACCCGAAAGAAAAACTTCTTGGAATAGCTTCTTTATTGCCAAGATGTTTAATATTGAAAGTTGAAAATTAAAAGTTACGACAGGAAATAATGATTCAACTTCCAGTAAAGAAAGATTCACAAGTTATGTATAAAGAAATCATCTAATTATATGTATCCAAATAATGTAAAAAAAAAGAGATTACTTTAGAGATCTTTCCACGTCAATTGTCGATTACTGGAGATATATTAATTTAAGTTTTTGTGAAAATTATTTTTAATTTAATTTTGATATTTTATTTTAAAATAAATATAATTTCGATGCATTTGTTGTTTACAGTTGTTCTTTATAAATAAACTTATTAAAATATTGTAGTATTATTATTAAATTGTGCTATTATTTTTTCCTCACATTTTGTTATATTGCTTAATAAAAATCTAAAGTATAATATATAATTTTTTTGCTTAATAAAAATCAAGAGATTGTAATAAAATTAATAAGTGGATTTTCTTACATGTTTTCATAAATTTGCTTGCTATAGCAAACGATCCATTGATCTAAGGAATGAAACACGCGGTATAAATATAAAACACAATTATACACAGCTCACGTTCGCATGACTATACTTTAAAAAGTTATTTCAAGGCGTGGTGTTTCCGTTCTTACGCGCTTCTTGTTAAACATCGTATGTGGCAATGATGTTACGCTTTAATTGAAACGATTCCATCAAGTCACGTCTGTCGAAATAGCGGTACGCGATTAATATGCAAATTCTTAATTGGATGGATAATGAGGCTGCAGGAGGCGGATACGGCCTTTAACTGTATATGATAAACGACATATTCGTTCATATATGTTATTTTTTCTTTTTTTTATATGTTCATTTATATCGATTATTTGGCGATAAAATAATAATAAGTAATGATTTAGAATTTAAATAAAGAGAAGATTTCTTATAAAAGAACGAGCGATTATTTTAATAAAAAAAAGCTCTATTACATCTTTAGTATTATCAAAATTTAAACTAAAATCAATTTTATTAATATATGTTATATGTTTAATAATTAAACCATTTATCATTATTTCATTAAATTTAATAATAAAATTATCAATTAAGCTTTAATTGATGATAAAGTGCTTTTAAAATGTGTAGAACAATAATAACTACTTATTTAATATAATCATAATCACGTAAAGAATGTTATACAAATGAATAAAAACTAATCTAAAAATATATTATATTATTTTATGATTATTATATGATTATTGTTGATAGTTATCTTGTTATTTTATCAAACTTGAAAAGAACTTATCCATTGACGAAATAATATAAACAAAATCAAAAAATTTGTTTATAGCGAAGAATTTTTTATAGTGAAGAAAAGAAAATATATAATTGAGATATCTTTATAAATTGTCTTACGTATTTTTCAATTAGATAATTTATAACCGTACCTAAATGAAAATCAACAAATGTACAGTAACAATCGAATTTCATATGCAATTTTATTGAAGAATAGTTCGCACAAGTCGAGAATACGAGAAAAAGAGAAAGGGAAAAGATTCAGACTGAATCATTACGCAATGTATATATGCCGATTAATTCTATCTGCTTGACTTCATAGTTCGTATTAATGTTTTCAATAGACGCGGCTAATTACCGTGTGTATCTATCTCCGCACCATAATTGTTAATTAATTTGAAATGATACGAAAGAAAAGAATAATGAAAAATTTTGATTCAAAAAGTTTATTATATA